GGACGGCCTCACCTACCAGGTGCTGCGCAACATTGACCCCTCCACGCGGCCCCGGTTGCTGGAGGCCTACAACGAAGTGTGGCGCACAAGTCAGGTGCCTCCTGGCTGGAAAGAGGCGCTCGTGGTGCCCATCCTGAAGCCACGGAAGCCGGCCACGGAGCTTTCATCCTACCGGCCAGTGTCACTTACCTCGGCCGCAGGGAAAGTCATGGAAGCCATGGCATTGCGACGCCTTCGCTGGATTGCCACCGCAACCAACGCATTCCCTCCCGAACAGAGCGGATTTCGCCCAAGGCGCTGTACGTTCGACTCACTGGCCGACGTGATCGCCACCCTCGAGGAGGCCAAGTACCGCGGCGATTACGGCATCCTCGTGCTGCTCGACGTGAGAAGTGCGTTTGACTGTTTGCCCCACGCATCGATTTTGGACGCACTTCGTGACCTCGGTGTGTGCAGGCGGATGTTTGACTACCTGGAGAGCTTCTTGGGCGACCGCACTCTTCGCGTTCGTGTTGGCTCCACAATCAGCGGTCCCCACTCCGTCACCGCAGGCGTACCCCAGGGCAGCATACTGAGCCCTTTTCTGTTCAATCTGGCTCTTGCCAAGCTGCCCGACTACATCCCGTGCAACACGGCGTGTGAAGTGCATGTGGCGATTTACGCCGATGACATTGCGCTGTTTGCCTGCGGCCCCGGTCGCCACCGGGCAGCCCTTCTCGAGTCCCTCCAGGTGGCCATCGACGCGGTTGACGCATTCCTGAACGGGGTTGGACTGGCGCTCGCCGCCTCCAAGACGGAGGCACTGCTCGTCCACCCGCGAGCGTCGACACGCCGCTCCACGCCTCGGCTCTCACTCCGGGGCCTCCCCATCGAGTGGAGCACGAAGGTGCGCTACTTGGGGGTGACCATAGACCACCGGCTCAGCTGGCGACCGGCCGTCAACGATCTGCGGACGAGCAACCGCAAGGTACTCGGCGCCGCACGCAGTCTCCTCGCGCGTGGGCACGGCTGCACCCCTGCCCTTGCCCTGCGAGTCTACAACGCAGTCGCATCGGCACGCGTGATCTACACTGCAGCAGTGGCTTCGTTGAGTGCTTGCCAGCTAGCTGCCTTGGACGCGGACCATCGCAACGCCGTGCGGGAGTACTACGGACTTCCCCAAACCTCCCAGGTGGGCCCCACGCTCGCCGAAGCGGGGGAAACTCCCATCTCCCTGCGGGTGACCCAGCGGACACTAAATCATGTACTGCGGCTGAAAACCACAAGGCAGGGGCAGCTCCTTGTGAACAGGCTATATGCTCTACCTCACTCATCCATGGGGCAGCGGGCGAGTGAGCTCTTGACGGTTGTGCCAGACATGCAGTACCCCAGCTGGCTGGCTATCCCACCCTACCGCCACACCCCTCTGGTGATCACCAAGACCATTGGCGGCATCAAAGCGAAGGCGCGCACCCCGCTGGCAGCGATGCAGCAGGAGTGCTCCGCCCTCCTTCACGAACAGCTGAACGGCCGGCTGCTTGTTTACGTCGACGGGTCAGTGCTTCGCGACGGCTCCGCGGCCGCCGCCTGCGTTGTGCCATCAGTCGGCGCGGTTCTCAAGTGCCGCCTCCCCTCCCTCGCCTCCTCCACTGTGGCGGAACTCGCCGCTATAAATTTGGCAGCCGATTTCCTCAGTGAGCGGGCACCCATGAGCGCTGCAGCCATCATCTGCGACTCCCGGGCGGCCTTGGCCGCGATCTCGCGCGAGGAAGACGGCAGCCTCCTTGCGCAGAGAGTTGCCCGGAAGATGCACGCCGTGCAGCAAACGGGGTGCGACCTTTCGCTGCACTGGGTGCCTTCGCACATCGGAATACCCGGCAACGAGGCGGCCGACTGTGCCGCGAGGGATGCGCACGACCCCGACACCGGCGTCACCAACTTCGTGTGCTCCGCGGATGCCGGCCGTCTCCTCACCGCCCGCTACGTGCGCGAGCGTCATCCCGACCCTCGCGTAGCAGCTGGAAAGCCGCCGCGGCGGTTCCCTCTCAAGGGACTCCCAAGACGAGACCGCGGTTTCCTTCTCCGTCTCCGCACCGGAGACAACTACACCGCCGAGCGAAAACATCGGCACTCCGGGCGTGGCAGTCCATACTGCATGGACTGCGGCGACCTGGAGACTCTGGACCACCTTTTGCTTCATTGCCCGGCTGGTGACGCGAGCAGACAGGTGATGCTCGCAACGTACGGAGCTCTCGGCCTGCCTCGGACAACAACTGAGCACCTCTTGTTCCCGAACAGTGGCCGCGCGCATATCAAGCGTGCCCTTTCAGCGCTGCTCGACTTTGTAGACGGAAGCGGACTGCGTGAGCGAATTTAGAGAATTCGCGCCCCGTGATTTTGGTAGACGATCTGTGCGTCCCCCCCTTCCTTTGCTCGCTCTCTCCTTTCTCTTTCCTCTCTTCGCTCAAGTCTATTATCCCCCATTCCCCTTCCCATGTGAACCACTGCTGAGGTGTCGCACTTAGCTGCAGACAGTTGCGGGGTTCACTTTTCTTTTCTTTTCCAATTTTAAGAACCACTTCCCCCCCTCTAGTTTGGTTTCTTGGCAGCCGGGCAAACAGCTTCAAGTTCACGTCGGACGATGCCTGTCACATCCCCAGGCTTGGACGACTGACAAGGAGTTCCTTCGCAAGGCGACATGGCAGCAGTGTTGCGGAGACGATGAAAGTGCTGCGGAATACGCCGACTTTTCACTTGCTCGGGGTGGCGACACTCTTTAATTACAACTTCAAAGGTGGTTACGTTGGTAAAGACGAGCAGGTTCAACGCATCATCAGCGATACCCTTTAAAATGTGCGACATCTTGTCAGCCTCGGAGAAGCTGTGGGTGGATCTCTGGTACAAGGCTGGCACGCTTTGGATATTCAAGTGAGGTTCAGTAGACGTCTGAGCGCGTACGGTCAATCATTTCCTGGCAGCAATCTGTTGTCCATATGGGCTGCCGAAAAGGTCACGGAGTTTATATTTGAACATGTCCCAGCTTTTAACCTCGTGTTCGTGCGTTTCGAACCAGGCATGAGGAGTTTTGTCGAGGTAGAATATGACACTTTCCAAAATGACGATTTGGTCCCAGCCATATTGCTTGCTTACGCGCGCGTACATGCTGAGCCACTTATTCACATCGATGTTGCTTTCTCTAGAAAAGGTACCAGGATCATGGGGTCTCGTTATGGCGACGTAATGGTTGGTTGTCGGGTATGTTGCCTGCGTAGCTAGAGAAGGCACGTCTTTACCGGGAGCCATGGTAGTAGACAGCAAGAAGCCTTCCCAGTGGAGCTCTGTCGTCAAAAAAAGTACCCCGCAGCTCCATCAAAAATGTTGCGTGACGATAACACTGTCAGTCAAAGCCATAGTGCAAAACAGGCAACTTGTCTTGTCGCCTAGATTTTGGCTCATACTCACAAGGGGGAACAGGCAACTTCTTCAATTTCCTACAAACGGCTTCTAAAGTATGTTCCACTATACACTGATATAGTCAGCGAAAGCACACAACAATATGAAGGGAGCACCAATGCTATCCTATACCTTTATTGATTCAGACTTTTCACGTAATATTTCAGTGCACATGGTTATTGCTACGAGTGTTCTGATCGCGCTAATGGTGTCTATGGACACCAAAGTTGCATACAAAGAACTCCTACTATCATCACTCCTTGGAAACCGGGGTCAAATTGCAGGCAGCCTTGATGAGCATGTGATCGCTTTATGTTCATTTTCGCATCCATGACGGAGTTTGTTTCCCTTCGAACTCAACCTACGGGGAAGCGCGAGAGATTGGGTAGAGGGGCTGCTTCGATAACACGTGCCTCTCTTCTTCACCCCGTCCCAGCCCACAATGGATAGCATGCCCTTTGTATTGCGTACGAACTAGCCCATCAGTCGGTTTCATTGGATCCTGTACCGATTGCCGCCAGTTCAACGTTATTGATAAACGTAACTGCAGTTGGTGATAACATCTGTTGAAGAATCAACATTAGGGCCAGTTGAAATTGGTTATGCATTTTCGAAATGGGTGTGAAAATGAGAAGTGAAACACTCCACAGAGAGAACATGTTGTCGCGTAGTGTGTTGTACTTCTTTGTGTTCTAGTTTTAGGAGCTTGCTCCGCAAGCTTCTTATGATCAGGCCTTATCTGGCTGCCGCCGGCGTGTACACCAGTGTTGCCAGTGTACACGTCTACAGTCGTCTCTCAAGGTCGCCGCTCCTGACGCCTCTCCGGTGATTCCAACAGTGCTCACTATCTGGTGCCCCGCACTCTCGCCTTCTCGCGACTATGTCCACTTCATTCTGATCACTGCGTAGACGTGGCAGCACGTGACAAGTTCCCACTACGAGTATTATGCACGGGTAGCGATATCCTCCCAAGCCGATTTACCTGTCTGCTCTCAACCCCGTTGAAGAACCCCTGATAGCTCTACCTCTGCTGTTTATGAGCGTTGGGCATTTGACTCCCGGCAGTGGCCAGTATGGGCATAAACGGGGACGCGCATGACGTGCTGATCAACGTGACTGACATTGTGCAGTGCCAGCTGCAGAACGTGCCCATCAACGCTGCCTTCGACGTAGGTACCATGCGCCGGTTCGTTAGCATGACTTCCTACAAAAATGGTCTCGCCATGAAACACCCGTGTACCCCCGGGCGAAACAACCCCACAGTGGACAATTCTCCTTAAACATATACGTACCATCTTAGGGGAGGCTACTAAACCTTCACCCAAGAGCTCGGACCAAGACTTGGGTTTCAGAATAAAAGTTGCTTTTCTCTTTCTCCGAGCAAGCTCTTCTAACATCATTTGCTATGTGGATATGGCAGCGATTTTTTTTGCACTGCCCCTTTCAGTTATGCATAACATCTGTATCCAGTGCTACTTAGCGTTGAACACAGAACATTCGAGTCACAAGCTGTACTAAAATAAGCGCTTTCACTGACACGCACATTCATTTCTCGCCGTACCCTGCAGGTCACATACACTCGCAACATTGGCACGCCCTGGAGGATCTCGCAAAGCCTTTCCCCAACAAGGAGGCGGTGAACATAACAGCCACAATGATAAAAAAGGTAAGCAGAGATGGCGAGTAGTTACTTGTGTATCATGACATGAAAGTGACAGCGTATATGCGTGGGCACGCCAGACTATTTCATACGTTTGGGTGTCGACTTACTGCTGAAAAATGGTTAATGAAGGATTGGCGAAATAACTGCTATTATACCACTAATTTTTGGCTTTACTATTAGGTTCCTAAAACAGATAATAAAAGGCAATATTTGTCATGGCCATAAATAAGGTGAATGCACGAATTTCGCACCAAACATGGAGGAGTACGTCTTGTGCAACGTCATGTATTTTTTTTTTCGCGTTATGGTCGCCAAAAGGGCAACATTCGAATTTTCATCATGTGTATTGTTTGTTACATACAGCAGAAACGTGAAGAGTCTTCATGCATGGACAACTTACACATCAGAATTGATAAAATATCTTACTCTTATTAACATTGTCATTGTTTACTTCAAATGAATATCTAGGACCACTATATAAACGCTAGAAAATGATGCTCGCAAGCCATCAGAGCACCGTGGAAAATGTAACTTTTGTAATGTAATCATTTTCGGAAGACGCATGTCATAAAGACGTCATCGCGGAGCTGACGGTTACGTAGGAGCAAGACAGTGAGACGTTTTGAAGCTAACCATCACACGAAAAGTGCCCGAAATTAAATCAACGGCTGAAGTCAGCACACCTGGGACGAAGTTTATAGGTGCAGAAGTAAGAATGAAGGCAAAGAACGAAGAAATGGAAAGCGCACACTTGCAGCTAATTTCCAGGCAGGCCCGTAGCCACGAATTTTTTCGGGGAGGCGGGAGCACCTTTGTTGAGGGCGTTGAGAAACACCTAACCTATTTTTACTATTTGTCCTCGGTAACACAACGCCTCCATTCGATTTTGTTTTGGAAGGGTGGAGGGCTTCCTTCTTTAGATCCTGCTACCCTGTACAAGACAACGGTATGCTTTCTTTCTCTTCTCCTGCTTCTTTCTATCTCTTTTTTTCTGTGTCTCTGTTTTGTTTTAGGTGTCCTATAATTTCCGAGCACTCTTCCTCCATTTTCCCTCTTTTTTCCTTTTTCTTCCCCGTGTACAAAGTATCGCTTATAATCTGTCTCCGTCTGTATCTGTCTCTTTCTCTTTATTTTTTTGTGCCTCTCTGAGTTTCTTTGTTTCTCTCTGTGATCTTTCTTTGTATCTTTCTCTTTCTCTCTACTTAACACAGGCATATCATCGCTAAATATGTTTCATGGGAGAAGGGGGGGGTAAGTGGATTATTCTTACTGTGTAGCTCTGTTTAACTTGCAAGCAATGAGCGACAATAGATCATTTGTTTTTTGCATTGTTCAGAGGGGCTTTAGTTTTGGACGTATATAAAAATTATTTGCACTGGACTCACTTGGTATCCGGTACTCAAGCATAGATAATGAGGATGTCTACTTCTTGCTGTGATCCTGTTGTTGGGTCTTCGCTGTATTTGGCGCTCTAGAACGACAGAGTATTGTTTCAAAAAGAATGCGCACCCCGCACTAATGCATTTCCGCAAGAACGTACGTACATTGGTTTATGGAAATCCACAAAGCAGCAGCAGAGACTCCCGAAGGGGCTCTCCGGGCTCGTCCTGTTGGTGGCTTTGCGTGAATTTCAAGTTAGATGAAGCCAGCTCGATGCTGGCTGATTGCGCATGTGCCGCATGTACGGTGTGACTTGCGCGTTTTCACTGGTGTATTTTGTTCAGTGCTATGTACCAATGTTAGGATGCTGAAATGGAAAGCCTGGATAGCCGAGTGACTTCGCTGGTTCAAATCCCACCTTGCCAAAATTTTATATTTATTTGTTTTTCTCCTGTCCACTTCTCCTACTTACCTTCCTCCAACTCGTTGATAGACCACGCGAGATTCCACATAAGGTAGAGGCCATTAATAATGATTATAACTATCTGTTATCGCCACATGGTGCTTTGGTGAGTTTATGTAGCTTCGCCGATGAAATGTTTTGATTTTCCCGCCTAATTGTCCCACCTCTCACGTACCTCCCACGTAACTGTCTTAACCGAAGGGCTCAGTTGGCAAAAGATTTCAGCCGAAAGTGTTATAAAGCAACTTTGGGCAACAAGAACGCACAGTGTACGTAGTTTCTTCTTTGCCCCATAGTGCACTGGAATCCCTAAAGAAAGCGGCGTTTCCAAATGAGGACGCGATGTTGCATAAAGTTTAACAAGCACCAAATGTGCATGGAACAATGATTAGACAAGTAGTAAATGGTCAAGTAGTAAATGATCACGCTTCGCCCCACTCATGATCATTCCATCCGTGGATATGGTGCGATTTTTTTTCCTCCAGAAACTGATTTCGGATGAATGGATGAATGTTATTAGCATCTTCTTTATACCGGGACGGTGACATATGTACCACCAGGCTCGCATGAAAAAAAAAACGGAAATATTTTTTTGTTGGCCTAATGTCTCATCTACTTCGATCAAATCTAACGTATTATAACAAAGAAAAACATAAACTTGTGTTCCATCTCTCTGCCTCCTCACACAGAAGAACCTCATTTTCCCACTATTTCTGTCATTTATTTCTACTTTTCTGCCAACAATACTCTAATTGTCTCTTACTTGCTTCAATTGTGGACTTCTTCAGCTTCCCATGTTTGTCCCTGAAACCCAAAGCCTCATGTGGGCTTGTACCCACTCGTATACATGGGAAGATATCGCCGCATTCAATCAGAACATGTTCCATCGTTTCCTTAACTCCTCCACAGCATGTACATTGTTCTTCTTTACTGAATCTCTTTTTACGACTACGCATTCTAAAGCAACCTGACCTCACTTCGAACAGTAAAGCGCTTCCTCTTGAATTATCCTAAAACCTCTTCCGCCTTATTTCATTCTTGCCCTTCGATACTTACTGAGAGCCGGCCTCTTTTCCATCGCTGTCATCCAATAAACCCTCTCCGCCTCTCTGACTTTCCGCATAATTTTCCATGTTGCCGTATCACCCACACTTCCAGCCTTATAGTTACGAGTGAGGCTCCTAATTCTTTTTTTCCACTTTGTGTCCACGCTCTTCCTACATAAATTTCAGCCTGGACACACAGTGCCATCTATTGAGCCATTCATAAACTAAACGAGAGATGGCTACATAAGTACAGAGAGAGGAGCGACCGACGCACGGCTTGAGGAGCTTCGCCCTTAAAACAAGGAAAGACATTGTATACATCTTGCATGTGAGCACTAAAAAACCAATTTACGTGTGCACAGAAAAAGTGTTTTACAATTCATAGTTTTTGGTACTCTACTATGGGAGAGCAGAAAGCCGTCCAAGTTCATTTCCGCTAAGTTTTATGATTGGTTCAAGATAATTTTATTTCTGAGAGAAACATATACATTACACAGAAGGCATTCGTCTGTTACACTTTCGTACTCAAGACTTTCCTAATATATCTTAATATACATTCACATGCACAATGGGAATTGTTTGTACCTGCAAACAAAATTCTAACATGCAAAATGAAAACTACGCGCACGGGCACGTACACTTCATGAAGAGGAATGAAAAAACAACAATAAAAAATTATATAGACAAATAAATAAATACGTATACCATACTTGTGTTTAGAAAAAAGGGGCTAATAATTTCGAGTTCGAGGTACTCTACTATGGGGGAGCATAAAGCCGTCCCGTTACGAAAACTTCGCCCATTTAGATTGAGGAATTTATCGCTTAAAGAGTGTAACAGCGGCGCGTAACTGGCACGCACCTCGAGTGGCGTAGGCTGCCTCACATAATCTCTCAGGCTTGACGCGCGATATGCGTGATCGCGGGGATATAACTTATCCTATTTTCCCGTCGTCATCATAATCATCGTCATTATCATCCAGATCATCAGCCTGTCTACGTCCACTGTAGGGCAAAGGCCTCTTCCATGTTCTGCCAGTTAACCCGGTCCTGTGCTTTCTGCTGCCAGTTTATACCCGCAAACTTCTTGATCTCATCTGCCCACCTAACCTTCTGTCTCCCGCTAACTCACTTGCCTTCTTTGAAAATCCAGTTAGTTACCCTTAAAGGCCAGTGGTAATCCTGTCTACGCGCTACATGTCTGGCCCATGTCCATTTCCTCTTCTTGATTTCAGCTATGATATCCTTAACCCCCGTTTGTCCCCTAATCCACTCTGCTCTTTTCTTGTCTCTTAAGGTTACACCTACCATTTTTTTTTCCATTGCTCGCTGCGTCGTCCTCAATTTAAGCTGAACCCTCTTTGTAAGTCTCCAGGTTTCAGCTCCGTAGCTAAGTACCGGCGAGATACAGCTGTTATATATCTTCCTCTCGAGGGATAGTGGCAATCTACTTGTCATAATTTGAGAGTGCTTGCCAAATGTGCTCCACCCTATTCTTATTCTTCTAGTTACTTCAATCTCGTGGTTCGGCTCCACGGTTATTACCTGCCCTAAGTAGACATAGTCTTTTACAACTTCAAGTGCACTATTACCTATCTCGAAGCACTCTCTTCCGAGGTTTTTGTACATTACTTTCGTTTTCTGCAGATTAATTTTAAGACCCACTTTTCTGCACTCCTTGTCTAACTCCGTAATCATGTCATATCGTCATATCGAGGTTTATTTGGGTTAGTTGGACAAGGGCCTAATGTTCTTTATCTATTCGAACAATATTCGCATTTACCGAGAGAGACTGCTGGGATGATGCACAGAATCTAATAGCACACTGTTCGACTCGAAATTTTAAAGACTTCGAAAGCTCGTGCCGAACTCCTGCTCTTTCAACCGTATTTTCCAGAACATGACTGTCATCGACATGTTTAGGCTCGCCGAAGAGTTCTTCACCTCCCTCGGTCTTCCCCCCATGCCGGAATCTTTCTGGAAAAATTCGCTTCTCGTGAAACCGGATGACCGGGAAGTTGTGTGCCACGCTTCCGCTTGGGACTTCTGCGGCAACGGTGACGTCAGGTAAGCGTACTATAGCATGGCAAAAACTAAAAGTTACCATCTGCCACAGTGGATCAGTGGGTGTATGGTGTTCAGCTGCTTACCCGAAGGCTGCTGGTTTGATCCCGGCCCTTGCGAGTGCATGCATTTAGGCGGAGGCGAAATGGCAGACTCCTGTGCCATTTCAGTGCACGTTGAAAAACGCCAGCTGGTCTGAATTTCCGGAAGCCTCCTCTGCGGCATCCCTCATTACCATATCGCGGTTTGAAGACATCAAACCTCAGATAACAATGACTAATGACTACCGTGTCCTCTCGCGTATTACCCGCACAAACAATACAAAAAGCGGGTTGCGGATTACAGGCGAATTTCGGCGTGCGAACCGGCTTTGCGGCAATGTACAAAACTTGGTTTCATGGAAACCTTGGTTTATGTCCGGGGACGGGTTATATGAGATAATCAAGACGTAGTATAGAACCTCCTTGGAAATAGTGTATATATGTCTCCCGGAGAACTGTGGTTGCTGAGCGACAGCGCTCCCCTGAACCCGGAAAAACACATATTCCCGCAGTGTCATATATGAATCGCGTTCCTCAATGTTCTGTAACACAAAGCTCTGATCACAGAGCTTATATAACATCTCCATGCTACATAAATGTATTTTTTCGCCTTGATGCTCCACGTTTTTGTGAACACCATATACCGCGTGCTGTGGTTAATTAAGGAAATTAACGGGGGTTCAATTACATAGTGATTGACCGGGTCGTCAGAAACACGGATTAAACAAGTAATTGATTAAGAGAATATTTGCATTTAAGGGACTCGTTTTCTCGTTTACTGCAACATTAATGAAAACGAGCAAATAATGGCGCCAAGGAAGGTGCAGGTGTCGTTAATTGTACTGTTTTAAATGCGTTGCAGTAACTATGATACAGATGGCATGAAGCTAAAGTGGACGAAAAGACAGCTTGTCGCCGACTGTAACCAAACCTTCAACCTTCGGAAGGTCGCGGGTTCGGTCCCCGCTGGCGACGAGTTCTCTTTTCGTCCACGTTAATTTTTGGCGACATTTACTCAAAGCTTGTTCGTAGAAACTGAAACAATAGGCGTCACTAAAATCTGTCACGAAACAGAAAGCCACAGAAGTCACTTATACCCGTCACATGGGCAAATTACTCGCAGTTACGATCAACCGTGGTTAACCGGTTGCAAAACGATTAGCTCCAACCACGGCTTGCCTATTTTACTCAGCGCCGAAGCACAACCTTCATGGACGCCGCTATTTTTTTGTTAACCGCCAAGTGGAGGTTGTCAATCTCGGTCTCCTAGAAACGTGGTTTCTTGTACAAGCGAACCCTGGTTACACATAGCCGATGTTACGTCGACCATGGTTGGGGCTGCTTTGTAACAAGGATATTAGGCCCGCATTCACAAACCAACCTTATTCCTATCTCACGCATTTCTTATCAATTTTGAGAGCTCAAAGCCCTTGATAAACGCAGTAGGCATTCGCAAACAAATATCCTTGTTGTCTTTCACCTTGTTGCTGTTTTTGTCCTCTTATAGCACACGTAGAGCGTATAAAATTTTAGAGAAAAATGAGATAAGAACAAGGTTGTTGTATAACTACGGGCCTTAGTCGAGTGAGATCACCGCCTCATGACACTTTGGTAGATTATAAAAACATGGTGTGGAGTAAGCTTACTTTGTAAATAGTAAAATTCTGGTAAAGTAAAGAAGATGTGCTCTATACGCAGGGGGCTAACTCGAAATCATAGATTTCTAGACCACATCGCGTGAAAAGTCGTGGTCTCTCTCAATATACATGCCACGCTTCTCTTTTCACGTCCAGGATCAAGCAGTGCACGCAAGTAAAGGCTGACGACTTGCGCGTCGTGCACCACGAGATGGGACACATCGAGTACGACCTTTTGTACGCACGGCAGCCGATATTCTTCCGGACCGGAGCGAATCCAGGTATACATGCTTTGAAAGATGCGTCTTCGACTCAGAAAACATAAAACTACGCCTATACCTACGGGGTTCAAGAAGAAAGATGTGTGCAGAACCAGCGCAGACCAGTGCCTACTAGCAAGTTACGCTGGTCCCGCTCACATCATTTTGATTGCGCACTGCGTGTAGGCGTGTTTCTATGTTTTCCATCTCTTGCCAACTAGCTCTCCACCGTGCCCCGCCATTTGGGTTGATGCCAGCATCGTAAGCAGTTCTCAGTTTCACAGGCTACATTTTTTCTGATAGATGCGTAGAATAGTAAATATGAGCTGACAAGCAAAAGCGAACATCGTCACAATAGTTGAACAGAGCAAAGGCTCAGGTCACGATGAAGGCATGAAGAGGTTCACAAATCCTAGAACGGTCATTTGAGGCAGCGTTTCTGCAAGTGGGCTTGTCTTCGTCAATGGAGTATCTGCCTTGAGCAAGACAAATCCACGTGTTGGGACGTTGGCTTCAGCGACACTAACCATTCAAAGATTTCTTTAGAGCAATAGCTGTATGCCTCCACGGGCAAATCAAGCAGGTTAAAAAATGATTGTCTTTACCCTCCGGACGCAAGCCTACGAAAATCCTCGTTTCGTACCTTCAAGCTCAGCCAAGGTCATGCGTTGCAGCATCGCTGAAAGAGTGCTTACGGTGCTTGGCTGCTGACCTGAATGTCACGAGTTTAATGCCGGCGGCGGCGGTCGCACATCGGTGGCGACATAATGCTTCTGGCCGTGGACTGTCCACGTCAAGGCCAAGATTTCCGAAGCCTCCCACTGCAGTGTTCCTCGCAGTCGCATCTTAGGTTTTGGAGCATAAAATCATTGATAATAATGCTGTAACTACTAAGGTCGAGCCAACGTCTCAAAACTGAACCTCGCGCGCCATCGCCACACGGGCCAAAAAGTTTCAATAATAGGCTAGTGCGGCGCATTCGCAAAAACGAACAGAGGATCAAGGTCCGTCCTTCGTGCCGCTACCGCCAGGGGTGCTGGCTGCATTCATGTTCACGGGGCGCTCGTGCCGAGAACGTCGAGCCAGCGCCTGAGTGTTTTGTCGGGCGACTGTATACGTGCGGTAGTTGCTGCTATCGCTTGACAAACATGGTTTAACCACGTTCGACTACAATTTTGTTTTGCCGTAATATTTAGTATTTCATTCGTAATGTATCAGCTGTTCATTCGTAATATGCATATATTTCACTTGATGTGTTTGTTGTTTGTGCTCTGTGATAAGGCATTGTATGGTAACAAATGCCTGCAGGTTTCCACGAGGCGGTGGGAGACACAATAGCCCTCTCCTTCACCGCTCCGAAGCATCTGAATGCCATCGGTCTGCTGGAAGAAGACATGGAAGACAGCGGTAATTACACCAACCTTTCCGAATTCACCGTGATCAGGAAAGAATGCGTTATACTCAAGCTCGCGATGTAGATCACGTCGTTGAAATATGACGCATATGCATTGTATAAGAGTGTATACAAGCACGTGTTGCTACCTCTGAGCTGCGTGGCGCAGCAACGAGAAGAGACGATGGTTCCTTCGCGTAAGTATGCGTAAGCAACAGCGCTCGCATTTACTTCCCTTGCTGTGCCTGTTTTGCTCGACCTGCCTCTGCAGTCACCAGATGAGCCGGTTCTTATGTTTACTAAGTGCGAAGCACCTTAGGGAGTGGGCTGTCCTATGTGGCCACCACGTGGTTTAATTGAGGCACGCATAGCATAGCCATCTGTATAGGATATCTTGCGCCATTATAACAAGTGTAGCACAACTCGCACCAGAGATAGGCGTTCTTTATTTTGTTCATCAAGCACCTTGATGTTAATGGATAACCGGGTTAGAGGAGCGACACGTGCGCAGAGCGCGCGTGCTGCTCCTCTAGCCCAGTCGTAGTTGATGTTATGTGCGCAGCACTTTAGAGCCCCGGGCTGACATATTTTGTCGTAAATGTCATCACTTCGTGTCACGCAGGCAAAATCCTCTCTCAAGAAAAACCGAATCAAATGAGAAATAGATCAAGAAAAAGAGGGAAGAAAAATTAAAATTAACAAATAAAGAGAAAGAAAATACAGAAAAAAATGGAAATCAGAAGCAAGGAAGGCTGTACAGCTGCGCATTATGAAACTGCCTAAGTGTTATATTTCTTTGCCCATCTGAATCTAAAATGTCAAAAGTTGCAATATCAAGAGAGAGCTTCAACAAAACATCACTTGTGGCCGACGGCACGGTGTCTGTCCATTTGTCTGCAACTTTTGACAGCCTTGTTCGTTGGAAGATCATTAACGCAATGCTAAGTCAGCTAATTACGAAAGGGTTGGCTTGTCATGAAAACATTCAAGAAATGTGCTATATCCAGTCTGTAAAATGTCAAAGCTTTGTGCCATCCCATCAAGAGTGCGCCGTTTTCATTCAGGTTACAAGTTTCATTTCTCACTTACCCGTTCTTTGTGTAGCGGAAGTGCGCCACTACTAAGACATAGAGCTCTTTTAGACATGAACAAATGAGTGCGTTTTTCCCACTACAATTCATTTCACTGCAGAGCTCTTCCGTATAGTCACTATAATGCTTGTGTTTATTAACGCACATGCAGAGAGGCATATCAACCAGTTGTACAGAGTCGCGCTGGACAAGGTGGCCGCGCTACCCTCCTTGTACATCTATGACCTGTGGCGGTGGAAAGTGTTCAAGGGAGAGTACAAGCCCGAGGAGTACAACAAGGGCTGGTGGGACCACCTGTGAGTGCTGCATGCGTCTCCAAATACATTCAAATTGGCCGCTTGTGTGTCACGGAGGGAGCCAGAAATGGAGTGACCAAGAAGTCTTCTTTTGGGGGATGTTGAGGAAACCATGATATCTTGCCTAAGAACGTGATAAGAAGCTCATGCCGTGTTTTTGTTACGTCAGCGTAGAATAGGAACCGAAAGTATGTTTTAGGAACATGCCTTAAATAATTTTGAGGATGCACTCACGCTTATCAGTCCATTTTCTATCATATTGAGAGACTTACCTTTCATTTGAAGAAAAAAAACTGAAAATTTTTGAGTCCCAGTAATTATTTACGACTGCTCAATGTGGGCGAGCGTCGTCTAAATGACGTCGAAGGGCAGTCAGGGAAATATAAGACTGGGAACAAGACTTAAGACTATCACAATGTGATAGCTCAAATGTAGGGTGATGATATGTTGTTTTTAACCACGAAAATAGTGGCCTCTCGAATTCCCGAACGCACCATCTTTTCTTTTCTTGCTTTCAATAGCAGCGCATTCACGTTTCTCGTGTTTTAAATTCGCCAGACTGCAGTACCAAGGCATCTGTCCCGGAGTAGCAAGGACCGCGGAAGACTTCGATCCTCCATCCAAGTTCCACATTTCTGGAAGCGTACCCTACATCAGGTACGCAGCGCAACGCCACTTTGGCGACCTGCCGGTGTGCTTATCAAACCTTATGCTGCATTGCTTTTTTACTTTAGGTACTTCACGGCTGCCGTCATGCAGTTCCAGTTTTATAAAGCCCTCTGCGAGGAAGCTGGTCACGTCGGACCGCTGCACACTTGCGATTTTTATCGATCCAAGGAGGCCGAAACATTCGTGATTCTTCTTCCTTTCGGAAAACTTTTTTTTCGGTCGTTTTCTTTCTTTCTTTCTTTCTTTTTTCTTCTTCTTTTTTTTCTTTCTTTCTTCTTTTCTTTTCTTTCTTTCTTTCTTTCTTTTCTTTCTTTTTCTTTCTTTTTTCTTTTCTTTCTTTTCTTTTCTTCTTTTCTTTTCTTCCCTTCTTTTCTTTCTTTTTCTTTCTTTCTTCTTTCTTTCTCTTCCTTCCTTCTTTCTTTTTCTTTCTTTTTTCTTTCTTTCTTTCTTTCTTTTTTCTCACAACCAAGTGCACAAATTTTCATGACATGCCACAGCAAAGTTGAGTCGGTATAAACAGCGAGTGTTCTCTAAATACACAAGCGCACCACATAATCCTTCATGTAATGTCTCGTATTTATTTTACAGCGGAAGTTGTTATAAGATCACAACAATGTCACAGTTGTCCACCGCTGCCGCCACTGGGGTCCATAAGTGCTGTCGCAGTAAACTTTATTGAGAAAAAAGTTCACTGTCGTATATAAGAGCTTGGATCATTTTCATAGTGGTTGAGCATTGCACCACCGAGAGACACTGTTGCTTGAAACTATAGTGCAAAAAGACCCCAGTGTATACGAGTGTCAGGTCAGGCAAGGAATCACATTCACACGTGTGTGATAACGTTGTAAAATAGTAAAATAACGACGACGGCCTCACACAGTGAGAACAGCGCGACAAGTGTGTGGTATGAAGCTTCGTACTCAACTACAAAGTGTTTAACCATAATTCTTCATCGTCATCAGCCACAGCATGGACGAAGTGCACATAATGCCTTACAGATATCTAGCGGCTATCTTGTTTCTACTCAGCTAAAATGACGAATAATGACGCAGTGCGTGGCTCCTATACTTAACAAAAATTATGATTCGTGACCTAGTGGGTACCTTCAAGGCGCACCTGTATTAGTTGCCCCAAGAGACTTTAGAGCGTGTTCCTATGGAAGGGCCACTCTTTCAACTTTCGCTCTGACACTGCTGCGCGTTGTGCGCATGCCTGGTGGCTTTTTCTTTTTCTTTTTTTTTCAAGCTTAGTTCCCGGTCGTGATGGCTCAATTTCGTTGGGCGGAAAGGCGTAAATTCGTGAAAAATACAAGAAGCGACTACGCGAGCGCGAATCGAACCTGCGTCATCAAGCTTACTACCTCAAAGCCGTAACTGCCATCTGAGCTACCACATCGAGAAAATTACGCACTGCTTGCACTAAAACAGAGGCAAACGTGTTTACTTAGTAATGTACTCGGTCCATCTTCATTGCCGAGAACGCTACTCATGCCTGCTCCATTCGCCCTTCCAGCGACGTGCTTTCCCTGGGCAAGTCCCGGCCGTGGCCCGAGGCGCTACGCATGCTGACCAAGGGTCGAACGAGTGAGATGGACGCCGGCCCCATGCTCGAGTATTTCCAGCCTCTCTACGAGTGGCTCGAGCAGCAGAACAAGGGACGCACCGTCGGATGGACGAGCCACAACTCCACATCGTGCCCCTGCGCGGCGGGAACATCGTGACTCCCGAGCAACTGGCAGCAATGAACAAAGGAATGGATGATAATAAAGAGACGCGGATTTGGAGGAGTGTACCTAACTTAGTTCGTCGGTACATTACTTGGACGGGAAGTCCTAGCGATGGGACGACAATCAGTGTCCTGTCTGCCACTCTCTCACCGTGCAGTCTTGATATAGCACTGTTTGTTTTCGTCCTGACCACACACACACATATATTGCATCCCCGGTCTTTGCTGTGTGACGCCGTTTGCTGAAAAAGCCTGCCCGCTCTTGCTCGTCTTCTTCGAACGCAAAGATACCACTCACATTTTATTTATTTATTCTGTACTGGCTAGAAACAAGTCACATGACCCCGGCTTTCCTCATAGCATCATTAAGTAATATTTTTGGGGGGTAGGGGGAGGAATCGACCGTTATTATGCTTGCATGCAAAGTAATTACCTTGTCTTTGATGTGATCCAGAAGCTTGAAACTTGAAAAAAAAAAACTACAGAGATTCTACCGACTACCTTTGGAGAGTGTTTGATCTGCTACGCATACTATGACGTTTTATGGTGCCCGACAAGACCTCCTTGACGCCCCCCCCCAAAAAAAAACAGTAAAAGAAATACTTCATTCACTTCGTTGTTGTAGTGCTCGCGTGATCAAACGCGTGCATGTGATCCAAGTGTACATGCAGTATAGCGCCACTAACAATAGGAGAAAACAGCAACAGTATAGCGGCACTCACCTGTCAGATTTTCTCTGTCCTGGAGTATTACTTGGTGCTCAAGGAGACACCGCCGGCGTCACCCGTTCGACGTCCCTGGTCTCACTACACCTCTTCTATCTCACAATACTGTGACACATGTAAAGGAGCAACTGGTGACGCAAGTAGGTGAACCAACCCTGTTGGATAAGTACAGGAGCAGAAGTCCCTCTTGTACCTTCTGTCTATCTAGTGTTGAAGCTTCTGCTGATGCGCTGAACATCATGACGAACGGCAACCACTAATAAAAAAAAGCACGTGTGTGGATTTCGTATTTCATGACCGGGTATGTATAAAAGCGATACTGTGTGACTCATACCACTTCACAGGCCATAAGGTAATAGATGTGAGTGTGGATACTGACCTGACGTATGTTAACTAGTTTAGCATAACCGGTATGCTACCCTGCACAAAGCTCTTGGGGATACTGAACACACTTATGCAGTAAATCAAGTGCATGGACAATCGTATTCCGTTGGAACCACACACGGGAGAATATGTGCCATGTGGACGCGGAAAGTTGAATCTCATAGAGTTAAGTTAAAAGATGCAAATGAACGGCACATAGCGCGTCCTCTGAGTTCGTTGCAACTTAATGAGAAGAAAGTGCTGCGAGACAGCAATGCTACCACATGATCCTTGCAGAAGGTAAGGTAAACAATACTAGGAAGTCCGACAAACGTCAATATACCATAATTGTCGTCAGAATGAATCCTAATGTCAATGGCAACAGAGGTGTTCGGTGCAGCAAAGCTTCCCCTACTCAGGGAATTTCCAGTGATCATTTTCGACGAAACAAAAAGAAGAATCTCGAAAAGGCAGCGGTCATTGCACGCTTTGGCATCAACAGTTCCTTCATGTGTATTAATGGGCTTGTTGGTGAACCACGTTATTCATGAAGCAGCGCACGAAATACCATCACCCACTCACCCGCACATAAAAGAAATGGCAGCATATCCACAGAGTGAATGATGGAGAGTGGGGCGAAGAATTCGTCCGTCCATTCGTTCTTGCTTCCGTCCGTCCATGCGTCCGTCAGTGTGACCGTCCATGCGTCCATCAGCCCGTCCGTGCGTGCGTCTGTTCGTGCGTCCGTCCCTGCGTTCGTCCATGCAGCCGCCCCTGCGTCCGTTCATGCGTCCATCCATGCATCTGTCTATGTGTCCGTTCGTCCATCTATTCAACACTCTAAGTACCACCATCTCGCATATTTTCATCATATATTCCCCATATAGAAGCACCGCCATCCAGCGGACATTCCAAGGACTAAACGAGAGGTGGCACACGCACACTTTCTTATGGCTTGCGCTTCGGGTCCACTTCCCACCTTTAACCACCTCGAGTTCATGGTATATACTAGTTCACTGTACTCATGGCACAGTGACCCAACGCTCGCTAAACCTTTCGAAAACCAAGCAGGTTACGCTCAGCGAGTATAACGTAGCAACCTTTTTCTGCCAGTTAGTGTTCAATGTACATGCCAATGGCTGCTAATGGGAAATGAGAGGCGGAGAATTCGGCTTTTACTTTCTTACTGCTTGCGCTTCGTGTCTACTTCCCATTTTTGACCACTTCGAGTTCATTCATGGTATGTACAAGTTCATTGTATTCATGGCACTGCGGCTCAACGCTCGCTAAACCTTTCTAAAGCTAAGGAGGTTACACCCAGCGAGTGTAACGTAGCAACCCTTTCTTGTCAGATAGTGCTCAATGTACATGCCAATGGCTGCTAATGGTGATCGCAGCCTGCGCGTTAACTAAAAGCCAAATGCTCCTGTCTCTCATTCCCCATTAGCAGCCATTGACATGTACATTGAGCACTATTTTTTATTGTTCAACAACGCACAGAAGTCTCTCACCGGCACCACCTTGGAGGTCAAAATGTTATACTTGTCACAATCTACGGTGGACGAACGGGTGCCGCTATAAGGAGTTTCGCCGCTAAAAATGGAGAAAAAAGATGAAAGGACACTTTGCAAATTCCAAAGTGCGTTCGGTGAACGCCTGGGCCCATGTAAGCGGACGGGTCAGAATGAAACGCGATGCACGCGTCTCCAGCCATCCATGATTGGGCCCACTGGGCACAGCGAGACAAAGCTCGCTTTACCTCCCTGCCTTTCTGCAGTTGCGTTAAAGTTTTGCTAAGACGTATTACTGGCCAGTTCCTTGCGTACCCTTACGTAACAACGGGTGCTTCTGACCGAGATGAAATTTCTCAATCGTTATTGGCTTAACTGTTTCTTTGGCCACTCGCAAAGAAGCCAATTGCTGCCGAGAACGTTCATCCACAATGGACGATCATGATGGAAAGTGCTGAGTTGACGGCGGTTCTCATTTCATCAATTGGTTGCCTGCACACTTGGGGAAGAACATTCTTGAGGGCTTCATAAACTTCAACAAGCAGGCCCGCCATCGTGAGCAAGAACTGACGCGCCGCGACGATCTGGAGGCTCTAGAGGTGCAAGAAGATACTCAGCAGAACGATCCACTTCTAACATTCAATGAAATTACTAAACAATACCAGCTTGGCAGGAGAGTCTATTTGCTTCCTCACCCAAAGCTTAGCAGAAATCAGTCGGCTACTCTGAGAATGTTACAGATGGTGCCTTTCCCGTCGCGTGAAATCCTCAGTAAATTGTACTCGGACGTTGACCCTGGTTTCCCCGACTGCAACGAAATATTTTGTTCTTTGGCTCACATGGCTGGCGATATCCAGCGTTGCCTAACAACCTCCTCTCCAGCGCAACCGAATGGGGCCCCGAGGCCTTAAGGAGCATGGTACTCCGAATGCGAACCCAGGCTATCCCAGAGGGCCCAGGAAAGGGTGGAGCGTCACGGCGTTCTGTCATTTGCGTGGGCGTGGGCAGCAATACGACAGTCATACGTACAACTCCTCAGGATCAAATAAAGTTTATTGCCTGTCTGTCTGTCTGTCTGTCTGTCTGTATGACAACGGTATACGTGATTGCATCACAGCCAACTGTAGACGACATGGTCAGTGCAACTATGACGTCACGGGCTATAGCATGCCCAACTGATGCAAATTAATAAAAAGAAGTGGAAAAAACAAGAAAATGTTTACCGCCAGTGAGGATTGAACTCACGACCGCTGGTTTACGAGACCAGCGCTCTACCCCTGAGCTATAGCGGCAACGCATGACAGTTGCCGTTGTTTGTAGTTTCCAAGTAGTGTCTGAACTGCTCGCTGCGTGGTACACTGGTCGCACTTTGTCTTAATTTTTTAGTGTTTCTTGCTTCAAGTTGGGGTTTACGAAAGCGAAAGAAAGAGCCAGGAGAAAGACACTATTACAGAAAATCGTGTACAGTGAGAGCGTACGTTAAAGAAGGAGAAAATGTTTACTTTATTCTCCTTGAACATATTTATTGGACTACTATCGGTCAATTCTTTACATTACTGAGCGCCGTTATAGTTGGAGCACCAGAAATGAATCATTGCGCCATGTTTTAATGCGACCAGTTCAAAAATCGCACCGCTATTCGTGGCTGCTTCGGACGTGAGAACGGGAGATTTTTGCATCATCAAAACATGTTGTGGTGGTCTTGTGGCACTACATATAGCCGTGACGTGTACAACAAACAAACAAACACACGCACTCAAGCACACGTGCATACTGACAGGCCACGCTGCACTCGGAGCTTGTTTACAAGGAGCGTTATTAAAGGGTGCTGCAATTATGCATAACCGCACTGCTTGGTTGTCGGTGATAACACAACATAGCGAGAAAAAAACATCTCGATGGAGGACGAACAAAGGTGACTTGCACAAGCAGGAAGTACTGTTCGTCTCACTTTCGTTTTTGAACCGTCCAAAAGTTTGAGCAGTTAAGCAAGCTTGTGAATATGGTCAACGCGTCCGCCGAACTTTTTTCAGGGGGTGTATCCGTAATTGGAAATTTTGCTGGAGCGCACTAAAAAAGTGGACGGACAGAAGAGGCTGACAAGGACAGCGCTTGCAAGCACTTTCCTTGTCAGCTTCTTCTGCCTGTTCATTTTTTAGTGCGCTTCAACAAAATTTTCAATTATGAACGTAATCCAACTGGACCAACTTGCCATCTTGCTGTATCCGCAAGTGTGTGTGTGAGGGGGAGGGGGTGGCATCCAGCCTTGGCAGCATTTATTTGACTTGCCATGACATGACAGAAATGACTGGTCAACAGTGTGTAACGTGGGAAATCGAATACCAATGCTGAAGCCCAGGACCTCAATCTGCTTACCAAGCTGTGTAGTTTATTGT